TGCTAACAGGAAAGTTATAAATAAGCAGAGATGAAATTAAGACGACCGACCCCGGGATAGCGGGATATCTTTTAGGGGGTCGGACAAGTTGTCGACGGGATGTCGTACTCCTAAATCATCGAGACAATTAGGAGCTTATTATTTATCAACGGGGTCTTTCTGGATATTTTAGGTGACGAACAGTGATGAAAACATACGGTTGTCACACACAGCCAAAAGGGAATTGTTAGCAAGGAAGCGACAGGACGAAGGAAGTTTCAGATGTTCAATAACGCAAAAAATACTTTAGCTCGGAGAGCATGTTCTGGTTAATCTGGTGGGCCTAGCAAGGACTACCTTCCAGATTTGACGGTTTTACAACAAGCCATATATGCGGTTTAAGTATTGAAATTTTGTATCTGGATGACAGGAGCAGGCATGGTTCATGTACATATTGTGTAAAGATCGCACAAGCTCTGAGAGGTTTTCGTCCCAATAATCAGAATTTTCCGCCAAACTTTAGTAGGAGCAGACTGTCGTTTCCGAATCTCCTTGCGTTTCTATGATCCTGATCATAAATCGTTATCCAGCAGTTCGGCGATTTCGTGAATGGGTCTTGAGATATTAAGAAGTTACAGATATTGTATCAGGATATCCAAAATTGTATCAAACGTCAGGTGTGGAAATATGGAAATCTCTTCGCATTTCTGTGAACCTGACAGCAAATATTTTCCCAGTAGTTAACGATTTAGTGAAGAATGTATCTGATCATGCTAATAAGTTTCAGATATTGTATCAGGATCGCAGAAACGTAGAGAGATATTAGTCCAAATAATTTGAATTTACTGCCAAATTGTATCATGAGCAGTATCGTTTTCATATCATATCTTGCTGCGGTTCTGCCAGTAAAATTCTTCCAGTAGTTTAGTGATAGAGAAAGTGTCAGCAATTTCAGAAATTCTATCAAAATCGCAGAAAGGTCGATATACGAGTATGCTTGCCTGATATTGAATCTTTATCCAGCGACATTATGAAGAAAGTATCATCGAAATTTCTTGCATTTTGTATTAGGATCGCAGAAACGTAGAGAGATATTGGTTAAAATAATTTGATAGTAAAATTCTTCCAGTATTTTAGTGATAGAGAGTGTCAGCAATTTCAGAAATTGCATCAGGATCGCAGAAAGGTCGATATACGAGTATATTTCCGTCAGGCGTAAAGTATCTTTCCTGATATTGATCCTTTACCCAGCCAATTTATGAAGAGTACTCAACAAAATTTCTGGCCCTTTATATTAGGATCGCAGGAACGTCGAGAAGTATTCGTCACAATAATTAGAATTTCCCACCAAATATCATCAGGAATACAATGTCGTTGTCATAACTTTTCGCGTTTCTGTGCTCCTGACAGCAAATCTTTGTCCAGTAATTTAGTGATACCATGAAGAAAGTCTCTTAGGATATTAAGAAATTACAGGTATTGTATCACGATATCAAAAACGTCTAGAGTTATTCGTCCCAATGACTCAAACCCCCCACCAAATTGTACCAAGCATCATGTGTCCTTTCTGTGATCCTGATAGCAAATATTTTCCCAGTAGTTAGCGATTTTATGGATATATTAAGAAGTTTCAGATATTGTATCAGGATCGCAGAAGCGTAGAGAGATTGATCCAAATAATTTGAATTTCCGGCCAAATTGTATCCAGCGTCAGGTGTCTTTTCCATATCTCCTCGCATTTCTGTGATCCTGATAGCAAATCTTTTCCCAGTAGTTGACGATTTTATGAAGAATGTATCTGACCATGCTAAGAAGTTTCAGATATCGTATCAGGATCGCAGAAGCGTAGAGACGTTTTTCCTAATAATTTGAATTTCCCGCCAACTTCTATCAGCAGCAGAGTCGTTTTCATATCACATCTTGATGAGGTTTTGCGAGTAAAATTCTTCCAGTAGCTTAGTGATAGAGAAAGTGTCAGCAATTTCAGATACTGTATCAGGATCGCAGAACACGAGACTAGTATATGTTCGTCAGGAGTAAAGTGACTTTCCTGATATTGAATCTTTACCCAGCGACTTTATGAAGAAAGTACTCAACGAAACATTTGGCATTTTGTATTAGGATCGCAGAAACGTCGAGAGGTATTCGTCACAATAATTAGAATTTCCCACCAAATATCATCAGGAATACAATGTCGTTGTCATAACTTTTCGCGTTTCTGTGCTCCTGACAGCAAATCTTTGTCCAGTAATTTAGTGATACCATGAAGAAAGTCTCTTAGGATATTAAGAAATTACAGGTATTGTATCACGATATCAAAAACGTCTAGAGTTATTCGTCCCAATGACTCAAACCCCCCACCAAATTGTACCAAGCATCATGTGTCCTTTCCATATCTCCTCTCATTTCTGTGATCCTGATAGCAAATATTTTCCCAGTAGTTAGCGATTTTATGGATATATTAAAAAGTTTTAGATATTGATCAGGATCGCAGAAGCGTAGAGAGATTGATCCGAATAATTTGAATTTCCGGCCAAATTGTATCAAGCGTCAGGTGTCTTTTCCATATCTCCTCGCATTTCCGTGATCCTGATAGCAAATCTTTTCCCAGTAGTTGACGAGTTTATGAAGAATGTATCTGACCATGCTAAGAAGTTTCAGATATCGTATCAGGATCGCAGAAGCGTAGAGACGTTTTTCCTAATAATTTGAATTTCCCGCCAACTTGTATCAGCAGCAGAGTCGTTTTCATATCCCATCTTGATGCGGTTTTGCGAGTAAAATTCTTCCAGTAGCTTAGTGATAGAGAAAGTGTCAGCAATTTCAGATACTGTATCAGGATCGCAGAACACGAGACGAGTATATGTTCGTCAGGAGTAAAGTGACTTTCCTGATATTGAATCTTTACCCAGCGACTTTATGAAGAAAGTACTCAACGAAACATTTGGAATTTTGTATTAGGATCGCAGAAACGTCGAGAGGTATTCGTCACAATAATTAGAATTTCCCACCAAATATCATCAGGAATACAATGTCGTTTACATAACTTTTCGCGTTTCTGTGATCCTGATAGTAAATATTTTCCCAGTAGTTAGCGATTTTATGAAGAATGTATGTGACCATGCTAAGAAGTTTCAGATATCGTATCAGGATCGCAGAAGCGTAGAGAGGTTTTTCCTAATAATTTGAATTTCCTGCCAACTTGTATCAGCAGCAGAGTCGTTTTCATAACACATCTTGATGCGGTTTTGCAAGTAAAATTCTTCCAGTAGCTTAGTGATAGAGAAAGTGTCTGCAATTTCAGATACTGTATCAGGATCGCAGAACACGAGACGAGTATATGTTCGTCAGGAGTAAAGTGACTTTCCTGATATTGAATCTTTACCCAGCGACTTTATGAAGAAAGTACTCAACGAAACATTTGGAATTTTGTATTAGGATCGCAGAAACGTCGAGAGGTATTCGTCACAATAATTAGAATTTTCTACCAAATATCATCAGGAATACAATGTCGTTTACATAACTTTTCGCGTTTCTGTGATCCTGATAGCAAATATTTTCCCAGTAGTTAGCGATTTTATGAAGAATGTATGTGACCATGCTAAGAAGTTTCAGATATCGTATCAGGATCGCAGAAGCGTAGAGAGGTTTTTCCTAATAATTTGAATTTCCTGCCAACTTGTATCAGCAGCAGAGTCGTTTTCATAACACATCTTGATGCGGTTTTGCGAGTAAAATTCTTCCAGTAGCTTAGTGATAGAGAAAGTGTCTGCAATTTCAGATACTGTATCAGGATCGCAGCACACGAGACGAGTATATGTTCGTCAGGAGTAAAGTGACTTTCCTGATATTGAATCTTTACCCAGCGACTTTATGAAGAAAGTACTCAACGAAACATTTGGAATTTTGTATTAGGATCGCAGAAACGTCGAGAGGTATTCGTCACAATAATTAGAATTTCCTACCAAATATCATCAGGAATACAATGTCGTTTACATAACTTTTCGCGTTTCTGTGCTCCTGATAGCAAATCTTTGTCCAGTAATTTAGTGATACCATGAAGAAAGTCTCTTAGGATATTAGGAAATTACAGGTATTGTATCACGATATCAAAAATGTCTAGAGTTATTCGTCCCAATGACTTAAACCCCCCACCAAATTGTACCAAGCGTCATGTGTCTTTTCCATATCTCCTCGCATTTCTGTGATCCTGATAGCAAATATTTGCTTGTAGTTAGCGATTTTATGGATATATTAAGAAGTTTCAGATATTGTATCAGGATCGCAGAAGCGTAGAGAGGTTGGTCCTAATAATTTGAATTTCCTGCCAACTTGTATCAGCAGCAGAGTCGTTTTCATATCACATCTTGATGCGGTTTTGCGAGTAAAATTCTTCCAGTAACTAGATAGAGAAAGTGTCAGCAATTTCAGAGATTATATCAGGATCGCAGAAGACGAGACGAGTATATGTTCGCCAGGAGTAAAGTTTCTTTCCTGATATTGAATCTACCCAGCGACTTTATGAAGAAAGTACTCAACGAAATTTCTGGCGTTTTGTATTAGGATCGCAGAAACGTCGAGAGGCATTCGTCACAAATTATTGTGAAAATTCCAATTATAGAATTTTCCATCAAAGACCAGGAACAGTCTGACTTTTCCATACCCTCTCGCGTCTCTGTGATCCTGATAGCAAACTCTTACTTACGGAGACTGGCAAAATTGATAAGGTAGGATAGGATCGGGATAACGGAAACATCAAGGGTTAGAGAGGTAAGAATTTTTCCGACAATGTTATATCAAGAGTATTTTTTCAAACCTCCCCGCGTTTCTGTTGTGCTTCTAAAGAATTTTACCTTTATCGTATTTGATGAAATGATAATGTAATGAAAGCTTGATACCTCTGGTAATAACATTACTATGACAATTTCTTTATTTATTTAACACAATTTTTAAGAATTTATGACCAGGCCATGCTCCATAGTATTTCTGTACAGGAAATTGGGTCATAAATAAAATACCAGTTTAATAACAACTGTTTATTCACAATTCAATACATAAAAATTTCAACGTTCGTTCCAATAGTTACATATATACACAATTTGGATAATTGAGCAATTATTTTATCCAGAGGCGAATGTGCTTCCAATCAAAGTAAACAGACTAAACAGAAGTAGGAGCACTGGTGAAAACCTTTCATGTTTTGGTAAGCTGAGAGAGATTATCCCTCTCTTTTTATCAGGTCTGTTGGATGTCGTTTAACCTAAATAATGATGTTTCCGGGCGGTGATAGGGTGCAAAGTTTGAACAATCTTTTGAAACGAAACAGACAAAAACATGTTTTTCTCATTCATTTAGGCTTTTTGGATTACATATTTTAAACAAAAGAGGTCCTTAGTAACCCCTCTCTGACGTTGACGTTCCAGTTATAAGCGATTTAAAAATCTGCAAAAGCATGATCCAAATACCATAAAGGAACTCCGGACGAGCCGAAAATCTATTTATTGCAAAAATTGCTTAAACAAATTTGCAGCGGGTTACCACCCGGTAGCCTTATGGTTTATGCGAGGTTTCCGCCATATATATTACTTTCCGAGAAAAAACCTGTGTTAGTGACGAGCAGTCTCGGCAACGTCATCGCTCCAGCCGAGGTGAAAACAGCTACTGATGGCGACCTACTCTTTGTAATCTGTTTACTTTGCTTACAAAGAGCTATCGGTAATAATTGCACACTAAATTATATTTGCAGCTATACACGTGTACAAAGTATCACAAAAACGATAAACAACACTAAAAATAAATATGATATTGTTATATTCTTGGTTGCTATTTAAAATCATAGCTAAAAGATTGATTTTGAGGGTACATAATTGGAAAGCTAAAATCTTTATTTGAAATTTCTTGACTTATATGTTGAGTAAAACGTATTTGAAATTCTTCCACTAATAGAGAACTCATTTAGTATCTCTGTATTTTTTATGGAAGGTCAGACAATAAAGATCGATTGTTAGTCCAGATGTCGATAGACACATTCGATATGCGCAAGTAGGCGAGACATCTGACGATCTCCACCTACCAATGATTTGTCAAGCTGAATTTCATCCTTATCCCATTATGTGAAGAAAGAAGAGAAAGACCCCCTACGTCTCTGGCTCATAATTGTTCGATATTCTGCGCTTTGCATAGATAGATGTCGCACCACCATCTCGGACGACCCATCAATTAATCGGAAAATGTATTCACGGTGCCAAACAGCAATGCTTTTCTATACAGGGTGTCCCAGAAGTCGAAGACAAGCCAGAAACGAGATTATAAAAAAGTCTAAGTCGTGTACTTTTCAAATTGTGATGATATCTTAGTTCCCATTTCTACAAATTTCAATTTCTTCTTAGAGTGACGGAGAGTGTCATTCTACGTAGTGAAAGCAAGACAGATAGTATCGCCACTTTTATTAATTCATGATTGTGTAGTGATGACTGGGTACACTGTACAGGAATATGCCAACATGGTCCTCATTTATGGGGAATATAGATGCAATGCTAGTGTTGCAGCTAGGAGAGATAGAGTAAAGTTGGTGAATGTGAAATAGGTAGGTAGAGTGGAATAGACAAATATCTTCAAAACTAGTAGCGGCATCTGCACTTCGGTGGCATTATTTACTCTTGTATTAGTAGCTATTTTATCGATTAACGCGCATAACCTCAAAAGAGTTGGTAAAACCGGTAAACGTGATTATCGAAACATTGAACTGGCTGCAATTTTTGTGTATTTCTAGGTAAAGTACAACTTTGTTCTAATTATTACTATTTGTTATTAAGGCTCAGATACATGCATTGTCAAGTTATGTGTGAATTCATTATCAAATTTATGTTTATACATGCTAGCTGTAAACTTGAGATTAAGTTAAGGTGGGATGGTATTGTGGAATATTTCACAATATCAACCATACGAGTGTACCACATTATCGGACCTATTGCTTAAGAATATTGAATTTGTTTATGTTTTTGACCATATGTGTTGTTTCATTTCAGAAAATGCCTTCTAAAGGAATAAAACAACACAACTGGTCAGAAAATAATATGTTAGAAGCAGTTAAGGCAGTACAGAGTAAAAGAATGGGCTACCTTCTCGCTGCAAAGACTTTTAGCGTTCCACGGGCTACCCTCTTCAGATATTGTCAAATTCATAAAGATGATCAAAATCTAAGAAAACATAAACTAGGAAGAAAACCAATATAATCGCAAGAATTAGAGCAAAAGCTGGTTGAATATCTTATAATGATGGATAAGAAATATTTTGGTCTTACAAGAAGGGATGTGCGTTCAATAGCCTTTCAGTTGGCAGAACTGAACAATATTCCTAACCCATTTTCACTGCTCAGTGAATCAGCAGGAAAAGATTGGCTCAAAAGGTTTTTAAAAAGGCACGAACATGTACTTAGTGTTAGGAAACCGACCGGCACCTCCATAGCTCGAGCAACTGGATTCTGCAAGCATAAGGTTGCTGAATTTTTTGACATCCTGGAGAACTTGATGGACGAGAAAAAATTCCAGGCCAATAGGATTTATAATGTTGACGAGAGTGGCCTTTGCATAGTACAGCCAAAGTGTCCCCATGTCATATCTGTAAAGGGCAAGCGTCAAGTCGGAGCGCTAACTTCAGCTGAACGTGGATCTTTAATAACAGTTGTCTTGTCTATGAACGCAGCTGGCAACTTTGTGCCACCAAGAAAGAAGGGCAGTGATCAACTAAAAAAAGGAGCACCACCGGGGACAATATTTCGCTTTCATCCATCCGGGTGGATTCAATCAAATCTTTTTACAGATTGGTTCAATCAATTTATTGATTTTACACAGCCAAGCGAAAATAATCCTGTATTGCTGATTCTAGATGGGCATTACAGTCACACCAGAAATTTGTATGTGATTTTAAAAGCTAGAGAAAAGCATGTAACTATTTTATGTTTACCTCCAAAAACTACCCACAAGTTACAACCTCTAGATAAAACTGTGATGTCAGCATTGAAAACGTATTACAGTGAAGAAATCAGGATATTTTTAAGAGCAAATCAAAGAGCTGTATATCATTTTGACATATCTGAGCTATTTGGCAGGGCATACCTGAAAGTGCAAACTGGAGAACGCGCGGTCAAGGGATTTGCTGTTACGGGCCTTTATCCAGTAAGACGCAACGTTTTCACAGAAGACGACTATTTGGCAGCAGAAGATAATAGTGAACATAAAGAAACAGAAGATGAACCCGTGTTGAGAGAACAAATCCAGAATGAAGAGACATCTCCTGGATCAGAAACCCTGGTACTCCCTGAAGATATAATGAAAATACCAAATCTAAAAAAGAAACAATCCAATAGGGGAAGAAAATCAGGGAAAGCGAAAATCATTACATCTACACCGAACAACGATGAACTTGAAGCTTCTATAAGCATCTCAAATAACAAGAAAAAAGAAGTGAAGAGAAATCTGGCTAATCCATGCACTACTTCATCTAGGCAAGCAACTAGCTCTAAAGGTCATCCATCCAAAAGACAAAAAAAACTCTCAATAAGTAGTTCGGAATCAAGTTGCACTCCCTCGGTTCACGACTCTTCAGATGACGAAAATGATATCTCCATTCAAAATACCAGTGGTGATGCAAGCTGCATATTTTGCGAAGGAAAATTTTCAGAAGATGTACGCGGGGAAGTCTGGGTTAGATGTGAGATCTGTAACAATTGGGCGCATGCAGAATGTGGAGGAGTGGAGAAGAAAGATATTTATATATGCGATTTGTGCAAGTAAACCAAAATATATAGATATGCAAATTTTGACATCGTTTGGTTCCTTCGTTGTTTTATAGAATATACATTTATTTATTTTTGTTCACCAGTTTTAAAAACGATGTACTATGTTTTATAGACAAAAACTATGTAGCACTTTTGGTTGTGAAATATTGTTCAATGTTTGTACAAACCAACAAAAATATTATTATTCCACATTACCATGCCTTATTCCACATTACCATAGTAATTTTCGATGGCTACATATTACATGCTTCGAATATTTTCATTTTTACAAATGCATGGAGTAAATATATGCGACCTAAATTATTTCAGCTATTTGACAGAACCTCACAGATATCAGAACTACTTGATTTATTTGAATGCCTCAAATTAGTATAGAATTATAGGCTTCAAATGAAAAGTATTCCACATTCACCAACTCTACTCTACCCAAATGCTGCTCTCATCCCGATCACCGAGTTTTTGTGAATGTGCGTCGTTTAATCTCAGGGAGACGATTCCCAAATCAAGCTCATGGTGAAGGAGGGATTTGCTTTTCTTCGAGGACGTCGTACTACAAGCAGTCGAACAAGACCCGAGTACGTCAAATACAAGCAAGCACGGGAGTGCCCAAAAGTACAAAACACTGAATCTTGCGATTTGATGAGACAAGATACTCACGGTATCGTTTTAAAATAAACATGTTGACAGAGATTCTAGATAGGAGAATCATTGTATTCTTTTCCCGGCGCACTATGAACGTTCAGTTAGAGTACATCTTGATACGGAATACACGAGCAGATGGACAGGGCGGTCTGGTAGATTTCAGGGGCGTCTGGTGGCTTAAATCCATTCGATTTTTTTGCCTGCGAGCGGTTTACTTGAAGCCAATCGAAAATTTAGCTGTTACGGGACAAAATAACGGAAGCAGCTGAGTCTGTTAATAGCGGAAGATTCGCCCGTCTGATAACCTGATCATTTTTTAAGAAGATGCCAAGCTTGCATTGCCGCTGAAGGAACATTTTTACTGAATTTAATAAATACAGTCACGAATTAGCAAAAGTGGCGTTATTATCAGTCTTTCTGACACTACGAGAATAACACTCACTCCTTTAAGGAAAAATTGAAATTTGTAGTAACTAATTACTACAAATTAGTTACTACCGTTTCCGGCTTGACGTCGACTTCTGAATCTGTATCGACACATGCTGAAATATACATGTTTGCCGTAAGTCTCTGTAAGCGTCTCCAACCGCAGTCAGCGCTTTCGTGTTCATTACCATCTCATCAGTAAGGTGTAGGTATTAGTCTTGTCTTCGAGACCGATGAACGAGAAGCAATCAAATGGGTATGGTCTTTTGAAAACCTCGTACATTTGATAACTGTCAAAGAACAAACAATATTTTCCTCAGATCTGACTGTAGCGTAACTTGCAACACAGCAATGGCGCGAAATTTTATGTTTGAGCTTTGCATGGTGAGTTTTGTTACTCTTCTTCATCCATCGAAAAAGTTGAGATACTTTTTGGAGGGTAAATTTTGATGCTTCGTCGAAGTTTTTTTTATAGTCCCATATCAAATCTCCAAATCTCCAAATATATACCCTTAGACATAATATGTTAAAAGAATTGCACTACAGTATCCGCTCAAAATAAATTTTTATACAAGACTAGCAGGCCTACAATTAAAAATTTGCGAATCGTTAAAAACAATAATAATACGTATACGGCACAATCTGTGCCTTAAAAATATATACAACATCACAGATAGAAAGATTTTTGAATGAATGAATAAATCTTAACCTATTACACCTGAACAAGCTCAATTGAAGAAGGTGTTAGTGAGTCCAAATCCTAGTGCTACCTATGAGACAGTAGCACAGCTAAATATTTGGAACGTTTTCAAATTAGTTCTACAGGGTACCTCAATATTTCATGGACATAGATGTACCAGGTATTTTTAGACTCAACATAAGTCGATCAGACATGATTTACCTTTCAAAACTGCTCCGTTTGTCCGCAAGAATGCGCTTTTTTGAAAAAATCTTTATTTTAAGATAATCAAAGAACCGATGAAGAACCTTGGATGAAATTTGGAACACATATGTTTTGATAGACGTTCTAATATTTGATATTTACTAATAACTCTAAAGTGTTCGAGAACGGTGAAAACTAGCCCTCTCCCCCTCCATAAATTTTACCAGAATTTTTTGGCAACTTTCCCTTCGACCCTGATTTTTCTTTCGTTTAGTAGATCTTTTTGTTTACTTCATTTGTTATCTCATTTTAAAAACAGACCATCTCGGATACTTTTCAGAAAAAAATGTGTTGCATCAAGAAATTCCAAAGCGTCTTAACATATTCATGTTTTAAGTGTACTTAGCGAATATTTTATTTAATACAGGCAATAGTGCGAATCTTTCATAAAAGGTGTTCAATCTGATCACCATTTTTGTTCCTCAGCATAACAATACGGCGCTAGAAATTTGATGTAACAAGAAAATATAGAAACCAACTCCGAAAAATATTTTATTCTCTAAAACCATGCGAAATGACCTGTTTTTATGAGACCAAAAATAAAGTCGTAAAACGGTATTTCAAATAAAAAAACCTCAATGTCGTTGGGAGAGTTCTGAAAAAAATTTACTTTATGTAGTGGTGGAGTTTTCACCCTTCCCGAACCCTTTCGGGTTTTTTGTGAAAGTCAGATATTATGAACTCCAGCAAAACACAAGTGTTCCTGAACATAACAATACAGTGCAAAGAATTTTAACACTTGATGTTTGTAATCAGAAGGTTTTTTAGAAAGCAGCTCCGAAAAACAACGATCTGTTTTGAAAAAAAATTAAGTAAATGAAAAAAGCTCAGAGTCGTTGGGGGAGCTGCGAAAAAGATCTGCTATGACTTATGTAGGGTTGGGGGTTGTTTTCACCCTGTAGCAGTTTCGTTTTTTTGTAAAAGTCAAATATTGCGACGTCCAGAAAACACATGTTTTACAAATTTCATTCAAATCGGACTATCGGTCTCAAGATATCTGAAAAAAATTGTTTCCGAAAAGGAAACTTTTGATGCCCTCTAACGGACAAACGAAGCACTATTGCATAAAGGTAAATAATATTCAATAGACTTATTGTAAGTCTAAAAGTAAGTCTATGTCCACGGAATATTGAGAAACGATTTATATTCATTTATATATGCTGCTGATGTCGTTAGCAGATCCCTTTTATGGACACCAAAATATAGTTCATGGTTGTCTATCTTCAGGTAGAATACGTTAATCAATCAACACGAGACCACAGAATGCCTCTGCCTCCTCTCAGCACCACGAACCTTCTTTTTCGTTGATCACATTGCATTTTTGCCAACTTGCCAACTGTTTTTCTGGAACACGATGGCGTATTCTTCACCTCCGTCCAGGACAAAAGCTGAAGTACGGGAACAGAAAACAGTGCAGCGACAGGAATCTGGATAAAAGAAAAATCCTGGATTAGTCCCTGACGTCACAGGCGGGTGAAAAATGAGCATTTGAAGGAGGGCGTGCTACATTTTCGAGAGATGCTTTTAAATATACAGGGTGTTAATAAAACAGTCTGGCCATACTTCAAGTAGCGATTCCTTGACTAATTATAGACTTCATATGAATATAGGTCCGTAACTGTTTCTTTTTCAAGGTACATAGTGTCAACCAAAGTCATTTAAGAGAAACAATATCCAGAAAAAATATTCTAATGCGCAATTTGCATTAATTCTCTTTTTAAGTATACACAAAATTTCGAAATAATTCAATCAGAAAGGGCCGCGTTGATCAATATAAGATACGGTTAGCCAATATATAACTGCCTGATTTAAATTGCGCGCTTTCTGAAAGACGCGTTTCAGTAGGTGGCGCCGTAGTAGTTGTTTAAAGCACATATATCCAATTCATCACGGAGCGCTACACGATCCCACAACGCGTCCGTATTGTTGAAACGTTTTACTTAAATAATGAGTCGATTGTTGCAACGATTCGGAAGCTTCGACAAGATTTCGGTTGAATTAGTGTGCCTAGTGTCAACACCATTCGTCAGTTGATGCGGAAATTTGAACAGAAGACTTGCAAGGTCGGGCCGTGTTCGAAATGCTCGTACATCGGAAAATATCGAGAGAGTTCGTGAACGTGTAGTGGATGAGACATCTACCAGACATCGTTCTCAAGAATAACGATTTTTACCGACAACTGTTAATGGGCGATCAATCCCACTTCGGTATGGACGGATTTGTTATCAAGCAGAATTCTCGTATCTGGGCATTAGAGAATTCTCGTATCTGGGCATTAGAGAACCCCCATGTCATCCATGAACGATAACTACATCCTCGTCGAGTCACAGTTTGGTGCGGTGTTTGGTATGGAGGAGCCATTGGACCTTACTTCTTTGAAGACGCTGCAGGTTATTTCCCTTACTGTCACTGGCGAGCGCTACCGTGATTCAAATTCAAATTCAAAATATTTATTTCGTCATGAATAAAAATCATAAACAAAAGAAATTCTACATATAGAGCAATGACGAAAAAAGACAGTCTCTCGATTATAAAACCGATACATTGGACCCTTTAATACAAAGAGTCCATGCGAGAAAGCCCTGAACACCCTAAAATAATAAAAAAAAAACAATAAAGAGGCAAATGAAGAGGCGGTGAAACATATATGTAAAAAGGCAAAAACGAAGAAAGAACTCCCGGGAGCTGGCAACGGACGCGAAGAACAAATCTATACAACCTGTCAGCGAGTAGGAATATAAAAACGATATTTTTGCTCACACGAACCCTGCTAAAGTAGCTGGTGATTCTGTAATAACGTTTTTGTCAGTTTTGAGAATGTTTTTGACGATGAGCTTTTAACTGAAGTTCGTAAATTATTCCATAAGTGAACCGCCACATAGGCAAACGATCGTCGGAAGGAACGCGTTCTATGCCTAGGTACGATAAAATTTCTGCTACTCTGGGGACTAGGCAAAGGCACAAATCTTTATCTTAAATAGGGCGATTGACCTGTTTTTATAACTCTCTAGATAAAAGAATACGTGTGATATTTTCTGCGATTCGTCATGTTTAATATGTTGTAGTTATTCAGATAAGGAGTGATATGGTTTCGATATGGAATTCCCAACGCAAATCTCATGCAACTATTTTGAACCTTTTGTATGCATTTTTTGGTTCGCGACGACAGCGAATCACCATAGACGACATCTCCATAGTCAAAAAGTGATAGAATTAAGGTATTACACAAATAATATTTTTGTTTTGCTGATAAATGTTTTTTTAATTTGTTTATCTTTTTTAGTCGCATGTAAGCTAAATTTGTTGTTTTTTATATGACTGCCGAAGCCAAGCGAGCTATCAAATATAATGCCTAGATTTTTTGTCTCCTGAACTATGGGGATTCTGTCATTGTTAATAGAAATTACTAAATTTTGTTCAAAATATTCTCTTTCATTGATGTTTTTATTCATAACCATTACTTGAGATTTTGAGGGGTTTAGTTTAAGATTGTGATGCTTCGCCACCAAGGTCACCGGATTTAACGGCTCCTGACTTTTTGTGGGCATTTTTGAAAAATAGGGTTTATGCCAACAAACCAAATACTGTAGAGTAGCTGAAGAACAATATTACGGAAGCGATTGAAAATATTCCTCCCGACACCTACCAAAAAGTGATGGAAAATGTAATCAAGAGGGCTCAGGTTTGCGCGGCTTCTAGAGGCGGACATTTATCTGATATTATTTGTCATACATAATTTTTAAGTTTCAATAAAAGATTAAAATGAGAAAAATGGACGTATTTTAGTTCATTGCACAAATAGTCAAGATACACACCAGTCAGTAACATATCGGCCACCCTGTATTATAACAAACTTGGAATGTTTGAATCAAGATTCTAGTAATATTGAGCATGACAAAACCGTTCAAAAACTTGCAAAAAAATTTGCGAACGGCACGCGCAAGGTGCAGGATCTTACAGGCTTTTCCGCAACAGCACCCATATGAAAATGGCGACAAGAAGGTTGACTCTGGACTTCAAACGCAACGTCGCCAGTAGGCATGGGAAGTAAAAGGAAATAGTATTTGCAAAGTAGGTGTGTTACGGAAAAGCTTTTATGAGTACCTGTGGCATTACTCGTTCGTTATGCTGTTTTAGTATGTTAAGAGTTAATAAATTTGTTTTTCTTCATTACAATTTTTTGCAGTTTCTATGGAGATATGGGTTAACACCTTATTATGTATTTTTTTCCAATGAGAACTTCTTTATTCACAACCAACCAAATCCCACTGAAATCGCAACATTGTTGATGGGGAGCGCTAAATTTCAGTTTTGGCCGGGGCTGTGAAATTTCTAGAGCCGACCTTCTCTAGATTCAAGTCAGGTAAATTTTCCTTATGAAAGTTTTTTTGGTGACCTGTAAGAGGTAGCGTAGTCGATCTACCGTCCAGTATATTGGGCGACATCAGTGTCATTGGCTGTTAAGCCAGAAAATTAGCTCTAAACACGTGTTGACACAGGGTTTTTTTTACGGTAAATTGAATATTTACTCGACGCTTATTAAAGAATAAGTATTTTGAAATTTCATGTAGGTATGTATGTTTTCAAGGAATCTATGAAGCAAAATTTTGTACACTACAAAAGTCAATAGTCTAGTTTAATATAAACCTATAACGAGGAGAAATAGGTGTTTGTAGCTAACCTCAATGGACATGTTGATGGATTGATAAAAATATATCGTTTATTTTAATTATATCTCTCGGGTGAGTAGTAACAATAAAATGCTCAGTAATTGTTGTCATAACAATATATTGTATTAGATTTGATCCACGTTTCAAGCAGGCCGCAAAATCCTTCTTTTTGATTGGTAAGATTTGCGTCTCTGTCGCAAATTCTGTGTCCGGGGTCAAATGGAAAAAATGTTTTTTTGCTCAGCTAGGTGGTACTTATCAAGAAATCGATCATACTCATTAGATCTATTAATTCAAAAATACCTCGCGATTAATCGAATGTATGACCTAGGCGCAAATTTTGATTCTCGCAGGTCAATAGTAAAATCGGGCCTAAATGGCGCAAAGACAAGAAGGCTCAAGGGCGCTCATGCTTCAACGAAAAGTAAAATGCACTGTCATGCTCTGTAATAAGTCAGCTGTCGCATCTGTTGTAAAATTTGAAGGAGGCAGAAAATTTTTTCTCGCGACAGTGAATGCTCGTTTAAGATAATGACAGAGTAGCTGGTTTCGGTATATTATTTCAACGTGAAAAAAAGGATGTTGGAGGATGGTCGGTAATCATAGATATCAAAAAGCACCCTCCAGGGGCGAATATTGAATGCGGGTTTGACGAAAACTTTGGCATTTGGCGTTCACACCAATTAAGGGTTTGGGACAATAAGATACGTAAGCCACATTGACTCTATCTCGAGAAATCTAGGGTTATAAGTCTTATGAATACAAGGACGTTTTGAGGAACACAGATTTAGCGACAACTGATTTTGGTAAAATACATTTTTGAAAATAATGTGGGCCTGATGCAAACATTATTATTGCAAAAAAAGTTGTCTTCCAAACGCAATTTAAAAATGGTTTGTTTTAAAAACGTATATTTGTACTTTGGCTGTTCATTGGTAGACTTGAACAGCACACTTTATTAAATTTGACGGACTCCATATCTGCGAGAGAGATATGGTGCCAAACGCGTAAAAGCTCTAATTTTCCATTAGAATCGTGTCAGTTGTGTTACCTATTTTGAAACAATTATGAATGTTCCCGAAGATTGAAGGTCACAGCGCACACAGATAAACTTATTTGATCAAGAAGGGCATAAGCCACTCATAACACATAACTTATTATTCACACGTATTAAACTTATTTGAGGTCTACGATAGTCGTTGTCAATAAGGCAATATTCTGATAAATAGATGGTTTGAAGTCATTATCTAGTAGTATTGTGAAACAAATACAAAAAATATGCTAAGTGACATATAAATCCGAACACCCAGTTTAAATGGTTTTATGTTAATAAAATTTTGTATAAGTACTTAATGAAGCATAATAAGTAAATGATAAAAATTTCAAAATGATTGCACTGCTTTAAAGCCCTTTGACCTTTAATAATGTGTGGATGCACCCTGATGTGCTACGCATTCTCCAACGCGCCTAGGCATGCTTCTGATCAGGTGGTCAATGTCCTCCTGTGGTATCTCATTCCAGGCAACCACCAACTCCTCTCGAAGTGCTTCTAGAGTTTGAGGAAAACGTTGCAAATTGAGCAATCTCCTATCCATCATATCCCACACGTGCTCAATTGGGGATAAGTCGGGAGATCTTGGTGGCCATGGTAACAATGTGACATCATTATGTTGAAAGAAGTCTATTGTGACTCTTGCAACATGTGGTCGGGCATTATCTTGTTGGAAAGTTGGATCTGCCCGGGTTGTCAAGATAGGATAAAAGATGGGGTTCTAGAACTTCGTGGATATAACGCTGCGCATTCATGTTACCTCTGATGAAGATTAAAGGTGACCTGGAACCATAAGCTATAGCACCCCAAACCATAACTCCAACAGTGTGATGAACATGTCTTTCAACAAAAAACTGTGGATTCCTCCTTTCACCGCCTTCTAACCCTGGCACGACGATCGTGCATGCCTAAACAAAATCGAGACTCGTCACTAAAGACAATACTGTTCCATTCCTGATCCCAGAGTGACCGTTGTCTGCACCACTCAAGGCGATTACGTCGGTGTTCTCGAGTTTTAACTCCCTTTAGGGAGGACCCAGTGTGGCCGGTATGAAAACAAGCCAAAATTTCTCATTCGTCGGTAAACACTTCGCATGCCAATAGGTCTTCCGTGTTCTGCAAACCATTCATTTGCAATGGACCTGGTAGTGGAGAAACGGTCCCTTAAGGCCAATAATCTTAGGCGGCGATCTTCACGGTCTGTTGTTCTACGGCGGCGTCCAGTGCCCCTTGCTCTTTGCGTACGGTATTCTCAAAGCCATGCCCGACAACACCTAACCACAGTGTCTACACTTCTTTGCACTCTAACTGCAATTGCCCGAAAAGAAAGTCCAGCTTCCCCAAGTCCCACTATACGGCCCCTCTCAAACTCACTAAGTTGACGAAATCGTACAGGTCTCCGTACTCTAGGCATCGTAACCGATCGTAAAGGATGTCAAAAACCAAAATCCGCCAACGTTGATTCTTTACTGCGGCTGAAATATGCATTTTTAGAGCGTTAGTGAATTAAAGCAGTATAAAAACCGGAATGTCCAACTGATAAGGCTGAAAATTTTTTCACTTGTTATATACAGTAAGATAAATACATTCACCAACTTTTATTAAAATGAAACCATTTAAACTGGGTGTTCGGATTTATATGTCACTTAGTATAGCTTTCCTACGTAACAAAAGCATAAGCTACATCTTTAATGGCAGTAAAGCCACAAGCTTTGATCTCTGTATTGTATTGTACGTGAAAGGCAATTCTCCACTCACACTGATTTTCACTCTGTTATGAAACTCGGATTTGTCCTAATAGCCATCGCCTTGACAATTTTCATGGTGTTAAATTATTTAAAGTGTTGCCGAAACCTGTCAAATCGCCGAGTATGGCTGTTTTCCACAAGAAACTCAAAGACTATCTAACAAATAAAGCATCCTTCTGTATTGATGAACATTCGACAAATAACTTTTGTAATATGTAAATATTCATATTATTTATTATTTATTTTAGCCAGTCCGGCACGGGTATTATGTAAAAAACCTATAAAACGCCAAAAAGAAAATACTAAATGTCATTTTGCAGACTAGCTGATTTTTAAGATGCAATCTATCTATGGGGGAGTGACTCAATTACATGCATTGTTGATTGTATATGTTTTGTGAAGCCGAGTAGTATGTAGTTTTCATCTCTGAGAAGATGTGAAACGAAGAAAGTTTGTTGAATAGCAAGATTGCATCAAAATTATTATTGAATATGCTGCCAATGAAGTATATCTATTAGCTGTGCCCGACGCGTTATTTATATGTTGTCCTTTCTAAAAACAGGTTATGTTCAAAGTTATAAATTACGATTTTCCATCACAGAAAAATTACGCATTACGCATAAAAAATTTTCGCAATGCCTCACACCTAGGCGCTGATTTGTATTTTCTACTGACATCGCAAAATAAATTTCTATAAAAGTTAATTGACTGGAGATAAAAAATAATGTAATGACCTTTGCACTTTCATACATATTCCTGTCGGTAGCATATTTTCTCACCTGTTCCTTCACCGACCAGGGATTTTCTTTTCTTATCTCTCTCATTTTTGAAATTCAGTAAATTTGCATATGTAATTTCCAGAATGGATAAGAAAAAGTGGACGCGTAACTAATTCCTGGCTTTGAATCTCAAGTAATTGTATTCGAGACAAGAATCCAATGGAATTATCATCAACACATATTATTAGCACACAAATCCTCACTATGCACCTAGGCATTGCCGTTTCCTTCTAGCTGTAGTATACAACTTACAGCTTAGATCTTCAGTAATGCCATCTCTGAAGCAGATTTTACATCACATCAAAGAACAACCTACATCATGTCTCAAAAAACCAATACAATGTCAAAAAAAATCGACATAATGTTACTTTTCAAGATACGTAATACCCGTGCGGCTCTGCCCCATTTTTCTCTTGTGTGTTTATATTCATCTTTTTTGCCGAATTTGCGGTTATGTCAATGTTCTTATTTATTTTACTGTGTTTGTATGCCTGTTTTATTGTTAATTAATTTCTAAATGCCTCTCAAGGCAGGCATGTCTTCTCAACAAGTATCCTTTTGACTTGTGTAAACACCAATGTATTATTATTATTATGATTATTATGCTTATTATTACTATTATTTATTATTATTATTATGTTCATCGCTTTCAGCATCAACAAATGTCTGGTTGGCGCCCATCTTGAAATTTGAGTTGCGTATAGATTTCTAGACGCAAACATGTGTGGGATAAGTCTTGGTTGTTCAAATACACTATTTGGAAATTATAGCGACATAGATACTTACGCCGCAGGTTCTTTTAGATGGAAACGTGTTTTTTTATTCAAATGTGCCACAGGTAACTTATTGCTCCAAGCTCTTCAAACGTTATTAATTAATTAGTTCTTAATCATTCCTTACCTGTACTGGTCTTCAACTTCGTCAAATCCATCTATCTTCACGATATTCCATTCCCCTTTACTCTTCGCGTAGCTGAATGAAATCTGAAAATAAAAATCCAACTTTACGCCTTGTTTTGTATCTCAATAAATATCTCAGCTAAGATTTCTCTTTGGAATTTCAGATAGTTATCTACGAGAAATATGTCCTTTTCGGGAATTTTTATTTAAATCAGTGGTCAAATGGGATTTATAAACTGATACAAAAATGTCACCGACCTTTAGGAGGAAGAATATAATTGTAGATGGGTAGTGGATAAAGCTCCGCTTGAAAGGGGTACGACAGTATACCGGATGTTTCAAATTCGACCCTCACCATTGGGATCTTGGTAAGAAATACAAAGTCGTTTGAGTGGGGGCAAAGTTGCATATTTAGGTGATTAATTAAATGCCGCTTGGAAAGTTTAGAAATTCAGAATACTTCCTGAAAGGGACAGAAAAAAATGGATTTTCCCAAAATCGTTTCAATTTTTTCCTGACTGTATTAGTAATGGGATGTTAAAATAAATTGCACGTTAACATTGCCACTTTTTCTCCTCTATAAGATGGCATAATTCGAATTTCAATATGACGTTTCGTCTCTTGTCCTCCAGTTCTGTTCCCAAAAACGTATAGTATGTCATACATTGACATTTGCACACCTCAACCATTGCAGAAAAACAGAATTTCCTAGGTATTAGGCCTTGAAAGTATCAGTCATTTGTTTCGTATACCAGACCAAACCTCAAATTGAACATAGTAACAGAGTTTGGAAGGTTGTGAAGACGATAAATATATCGAACACTGACCAGTGTACAAAGAAGAATCAGGCTTGGCCTACAAAATAACGACAACATTTTGAACATATGCTATGATGTAACTATGCTTATTTATGATTATTATGGTTACTACCATTAATGAAATTTGAGGCAGTCAGTCTTCTTCGTATATATATATATATAAAGTGTAATTGTCTATCCGGTCTGTCGGTACCATATCGGAGCCACAATACGGAGAGAGATAAAGATTTCTTCACTAACCAATTGACATCTGAGGAAGGTTATAGGCAAAGTTTCGCCCGCGAACTCATCACTTTATTAGTGGAACCACATACACCTTCCGCGGATAAGACCGCGGGACATAGAGCTAATAAGCTAAAAATGTCGTATATGTCGAAAGTATATGCCTGCCGGATCCTGAGCCACTGCCAATTACGATATAAAAAGCAGCTCTTAACGCAAAGTGGAATATTTGTAGCGCCTCGAACAGGTAATAACTCGTTTCTAGCGCATCGATTATTTATGTAGTCGTCATATCTAAACGGTAACTTTAAATTAATTATTAATTAATAAGAGTAGCGAATATTGGATGAATATTTGATGAAGGATGAGGGTTGGACGTTAGATCGTGCTGCGAATGCGGATTAGCTTGAACTTACGCAACCGCAAACCTCCTTAATAACGAGATGTGGGTACATTGTAAATTCTGACGCTTTGCACGTGTAGGATTAACAACATGAGTTTTATAGTCCACTCAAATTAGCTTTTAGGCTTTAAAACTACGTCATGCATTTTTTATAGAGTAGAAACTTTTCGATTCAGTCCCTACAAGACATGTAGATTTCGCAAACTTTCAAATTTAAGAAAAATATTAGCAGTTGTAGCTCCGAAATGTGTTCAAAATCACTTTACATTTTGGTTTATGCAGTTCTATATCCAGTGATTATTAATGATGCTGCTTTCGTCTATTCGACCACAATTGTTTCATGCTTCTTACTTCTTGGCAACTCCTCAGCACGGTCTAGGCAACACAAAGCGCCATCTGTTACCTGAATCGACCACTATTATCGTTTGGAAAAACGCGAATCAGCTGTCCATGGTTGACTGTCTGTTGTCGGACGGAAGCCTCACGTTTAGTTGCTCAATGGCGAGTAAGCCACAACCTACCATACCGCCAAAATCGTCAGCATCTAGCGGTCACACTGGCGAATGTGGTCTTAAACGCAAACTGAGATCTTTACAGTTCCAATCGATAGCTACTATACACTTTCACAGTGGTCGATCCTAGTAATAGATGGCGATTTATGCTGTCTTGTTTCGTTCAGCGATTATGTAGGGGTAGGTCTGAATATATTAATAATAATATGTTATGCTATCCCTAGCGTGCAGGCCTATCTTTTTATTAAGACAATATCATTTTACTTTTTATGTAATGAATTAGCACTAGTGAATATAAACTGACCCTTCAAAAAATAGCAGACAGTATGTTGCCACCAGTATACACAGCCGCATGTAAATAATTTAGTGTAATGAAATCAGAGGTGGAAAATAAAACTCAACGAATTGATATCGATCCACGTCTGCTTTACAATCCGAAGACTCACAAGTCATACATAGGTATGGCCCTTAACCCCAGGCTCAAGTGGAGGCACCACATCAAAAAAAAAAAAAGAAGAGAACTGAACCACCGCTGCAAGCAATGGTAAGCTCCTCAAAGATATCGCTCCATTTAACCAAGTTCTATAAACAGATCTTAAATCCTGTGTAGCTTTGTGGTTGTCAACAATGGGTCTATTACAAGAATTCGGACACTGAAATTATTCAAAGATTCCAAAATAAACTTCTGAGGAACACGGCCGATACGCCTCCCAGCTAGCACAATCATGTCTTGATGACGTCGAAATTTGGAGATGACGTCTAGTAAATTTCCAACAGTGTATGTGTACTGCAGGGCATTGTTACGGCATGTTTTTGATATTATCTTATCGTATTGAGTGACAACTGACAGTGAATGACAATCGCGAATCGCTGCTATCGACCAATCGACGTTATTCCTTCGGTACTCCCGCCATTTGTGTATGGTGCCCGCGCCTCATTGCTGCAACTTCCACGTTTGTACCGTCTCGCTAATTTTTGGTTGAAACCATAAGCTGATTGTGATTCGTATACTGAGTATACCCTAAACTATAGGAAAATATGCTAATTTAAAAATTGTTTCAGGCTAACTTTTCTTTAATTCTCCAACATGTACGATGTGTATATCCGTAGTATTACACAGCTCATAAAGTGTATAAAAACACAATTTATACTCCAAACGTCGTGTAATCTGGTACAGCAAGGGATGGGGGACCAGTAATAGATTATCTTTCGTCGCTAGGCGAGCAGCACCGAGCCAGTGTTACAGACTATCGTCTATGGTGCTCTATCACTGTAATGTATATGATTTTTTGAAGATGGTAAAACTGGTTATTCGTCATATATAATCCACTTCATCAACACATCCAGCAAGTGATGTAATATTGATGCCTGCCATATTATGTCATCAGTATTTGACATTAGTAGGTCATCTTCACGTTACTTTAATGTTATTCAATATTTCTAGTTATTTCATGACCAGCGTCTAACTTCACTTTCACTTGTGCCACCTGGGCTTGCATTTCGTAGTAGGGATATTCATCCCTCTGGTTAACGATGAGATCAACAAAGTAGCAGCCAGGCACGAAGAAAGACTGCATCAAGACCCCTATCCAGAATCACTTCAGCTGCTGAACAACCACAATGCTGACTGGCACTTAGAGAGGCCAAGCCGTTTTAGCTTGTGTAGTATTTTGTGTCTAAAGCAGAGCATATGAGCGAGGTCTTTGTAATTGTATTAATAATTATATGTTGAGATCAACTAAAAGTCATCAATGGATTGCCCATAATGATAAGTATTAGTTTGTAAGAAGATACAGCAAAGTTAATAGTTGATTATTATAAATTAATTAGTTTGAATATCCCAAAGATCAGTATACAGCAAATGATTAAGACTTAATAATTATTATCTCACCTGATCTTCAATCATATCCTTCCTGATGAACTTGAGCAGCTCCAAATGCGAGTGAAATTGGTCGACGACTGTTAACGGTTGCTTCAGCAGGTGTTCTGGAACGATAAATACACCAGATCAGAGTGGGCGAGGAAATGAACGGCTAAATTGGCTGCAATTGGTGCAACCAGCACTTACACTAATTCACATTTCCTCAGTCATCAAGTGAGAATGATTTTGGGAATATGCTACATAGTAAACAAAACATAAGTTGTATCTAGCATCGATGAATGATGGTGAACATTTTTTAATCAAGGAAGTTTATAATGAAAGACGTCTAATAAAACCGTTAACATAGAATTTTTTTTATGAAAGAGTACGTTTAAAGATGACTTGACGAAATTTTAGAAACATGGGTCTTAAAATGCTCCCATACCAAAGTCGAGTTAAAAATTTAAACATATTTAAGTGTTTCAAATTTGACTCTCTCCATTGTAATCTCGGAAAAGATAACTGTTAGGAAGTCGCTTAAGTGGGGCAAAGTTGTGCATTTGGGTTACTAAGAAAATCGCACTTAGAAGGTCAATTTCGGTTATTGCTGCAGAGAAACCGGATATACCGAGTATTTTTAAAATCGTTTTTATTTTTTACTGACTTTATCTGAGATGGGACTAAAAAAAACACACTAACATTGCCACTTTTTCTCATCTACAAAATAACATAATTATTAGACTTTCACTATGACATTTCGTCTATTGTCCTCAATCAACTTTATTTTTTTATGGACGCCTTATTGAATACGATGAATGGATTTTTTGATTCTGCTTTCTAAAATATAGAATATGCAATATATTGACATTACCAAAGCTACGTTATATCTAAAAAACTAATATTTTTATAGTTGGGCTTGAAAATGACAGTTTATAACATGCCTACCTGATTAAACCACCAATGCTCCTGTTTTTTCAGAATAGTGTTTTCAGGACATTTAGATACTTTTGGCCATTTATAGTATAACAAGTGTTATTTCATTACGATAGAGGCACTCTACATTTCACCTCAGCCATAAATTGATATCATTTGAATGCAATATGTGTAATCGGTTTAGAGATACCGGATCTGAAATGTGTTTAAGAAGCTGCAATATCGTCTAGGGTTCTATTCACTCCATTTTTTTTACTAGTTACATAAAGTAGTAATATCAATCCACGTCACAATTTGTACAATATCACATCATTAAAATGGGAAATAGGGACTGAACAACCATGCCAAGTTCATAAAAACTGAAGGAATGCTTGATGTTATGAAATAAATATGTCTATCTGATAATTTCAAAGAGTACTTTTTTGAACTAATGAAGGATTGAAAAAGTCAATAGTGACATATACATTTTTGGAGTCAGAATTCAAAACTTTATTCAGCTGAGCAAACATCCATAAGAGAAAATAAATTTGATGGTTGAGGGCAAGAGTCGAAACGTCATATTAAAATTCTACCTCTGCCCATCTTATAGAGGAGAAACAGTGGTTGGTAATGTTGATGTGTTTTTTATGTCTCTCAAAAAAGTCAGGAAAAAATAAGAACTAGTTTGAGAAAATTCTGTTTTTCGGACTCTTTCCAGAAATCCCATTTTCGTAGTTACCTCAATGCAGAACTTTGTCTCAATGTTATTTACCATTTCCGAGATCCCAATGGTGATAGTCGAATTTGAAACAACCGGTATTCTCGGGTACCAAAACGGAAGAGAGCCTTTGAGTCGGCGAAGTGGCTGAGCGCGTAACCTGTCGTATCCAAAAGGACCCAGCGTTTTTCCGTGTCTTACGTTTCGGTGCCAGAAGATAGTACCAACATCGTATCCAATAGTGTAAATACAAAACTGTCTGGCTCAAACTATAACTGTCATGCTAGCGAAGAAAGGATAAACAAGTTTTACGCGCGGATTTTCTTAAAAATCATTTTTAATTTCACTCGAATTGTCACTTTTGAGAAAAGGCTCTGTATTTTTCCAAGTAAGGTATTTTTCTAAACGTTATAGATCAGGTCAGTACCAACTTTGAGCAAGATGGCCTTGAGCCTCATTTTGACTGTAACAGTGGTACACGAGAACCTAAAATTTCCCATTATTAGGGTCCATGAGGCGAGTTCCCAATTAAAAGCAAAAGTTCATGTATGATACAAATACTGCGTCGAGGGCATAATGTTGAGAAATATTCTTCCTTTAATCGAACATATAGGTAAACGGTCTGTTTTTATTAATTTATTTATACAATTATTTTTGTTGAATATAATTATTAAGCATAATTATATAATTATGAAATTGAATTATTAAATGCTGACATGAATTAGTTTTGAGCTATTTTTTTTTTAATTCCAATACCAATAGGTAATATTAGAATAAAGTTCTTATTTTGCATTACAGTGTTTTTTATTTGAAAAAATAATAAATTATGAAAACTACGGAAAAGGTAGCAAATTTGCTTTGCAGAGTATAAAAGCGGTAAATCACATGTTGTTGCTTCTTGATTTACGACAATTAAAGACGGAAGGTAATTTAGGTGATTTAGCCCTAGACATCAATTATGACCCGAAATCAAACTTAAGTTCTCCATAAAGGCATGTACCTTTGCAATGTTTATCCACTTTTGTGGCAATGTAGCAATATCATTTAGCTAGTTCGAAAGAGTCATATTTTTGATTTTTTTTACCTCTATAGGTCACCTTGATCTTAGATTTTAGTACAAATTCGGACGTAGAATTTTCCGTTCCGTCGATTGACGGTAACTAGAAGAAGGCTTACAATATTATTGGTGACCTTAGACTAACCTTGAAGATGAGGATTAATGTCAGATCCAAGGTCACCGTTGAGCTCTTTGTTTGAAGGTAGAATAGATCTGAGCTGTTCCTTTTTCAAAATTCATTTATCTGGAAAAGCACAGAGCCGTTCCGTTAATTTTTTTATGGTATATGAAGACTGGGCACTCACCGATTATATATCCCATAGTTACGTCATCTGGCAGTCGGATCCGTTCTCCAGTACTGACAAACCTTCCTTCACTGTAACAAAAGAGACAAAATATGACTCACAATGAAACAAGAACTTAATGAACATAAGATACACTTATGAACCTAAACTGCCCTCCTGAATGTTGCTATATCGGCGCCCATGGAGACTCGATCTCCCGATCTATTTACAACTGTCGTGTACCCTTCAAATATAAATAAGTATTTTTTATGCAGAAGTGGTATCATGTAAGATGCATTTTTAGCGTATCCTATTGCCCTTTGGCCTTAACCGACCGATAAAGGTCACTTTGAAGTATAAAGATACCTTTTGATCATGGTGCGTTAATTGAATTAATGCGTGGGATTCGCTATATCACATGGGTCGATGAGTTATGCTCAAAATAGCTGCACTGGAGTTATAATAAAAACTAGGGCCGTATTTTTGAAATCAGTGATAAAAGCCGTATGCGTAAATTTTATCACCGTTGTCATGACGACACTGAAAACTTGTTACACTTACAATAGACACTGCGGCATTTTGAACAAAATTTGTATAAAAGTATGATTTATTCCTAATATGGCTAATGTAATATACCTATGACAAAAATATGATGATTAAAAAGTTTAAAATCACCTCATTTATCAGAATATAAAGGTTGGCCCTAAAGTTGAAAATAGGGACATCAAGCGATTTATGCGAGCGCATTAATGCCTGGTCATACAGAACATGTTGGTCCGAGGGTCAAATCTCAACTTCGACCAAACTTTTTTCTTTTTTGTTCATTCAAGAGTACAGCAATGTTAATTTCTTGTATTCTGACCTATTCGAATATCAATTTGTACTAATTTTTGCTAGAACGTGGCATGATTTTTCTTGAGTGGTTCAACATTCAATAGTGATATCTGAAGTTATAGTGGCAGTTTAATCTTCGAATTTGCACTACTATTGCAAAAAAATCTGTAGTTTAGGGTCCTGAATCTACGTTGTCTCCACAATTTAATGTTCAGGTGACATTAACAAAAACCAATAAAAGTAGTTTATTTTCGTAACCAGTGGCGTCCGTCCGGTTGTTTTTATCTTGTCAAATAACAGCGTATAGCATTGCCACCCAGTCGCAGTGGCATTTATGCCTGCTGCAACAGATCCTTCAGGAATAATTTGCTAATATCCTCCTCGTCTTTCATATATTCTTGTGTCAACCTATCGTTGGATGGCTTGAAGATCTTTAATGACCTTATGGACAAAGGTATTGCTTGGTCTTGGACTGCCTATAGGGAGATTGGTGCAGAAATTAAGGGGTTAAAATCAGAAAATAAATACAAATAAACGAATCTTTAGTTTTGGAGCCATCCTATATAAGTTATAAGACCTCCTTAGAACAGGTACAAAGGGGTTTTCTCAATGTGATGGTTCATATCCTATAACGGACATTTCTGATGTTAATCTGTGTTACGAGCTTGGTTCGACACTCCTTGCTTTGAGGCGCGTTCAATCTCTCTTAATAGCCTCGTATCTGCTCGAGAAAAGAACTGATTTGTTTTTTTTTACATAGTATAATGAAGGAATTAAAGTGAATCTGTATGTGGCCTAGCCCAAAATTGCCTTTAAAATTGTTTAGACATTTTTTTTAGCAAGGTTCAAAAGTTAGACAGCTTTCTTGAGTTCATTTCGGTCATTCTGGGTACAAAAGGTTCTTATCAACTTTTCTCTAATGTTGATAGTTTTCGAGATACAAGCGGTTTAACATTTGAAAAAGTGCAAAATATCCATTTAACCACTTTTATAGTAAATATTTGTTTTTTACTTGTGAATCAAGAGCGTGTTCTCGCAGAATATACAATGAGTTGGCAAGTTACAATTTTAAATGGCATTATGATTCACCTAGGTGTTCCTTGTTACTCTTATTTACCTAGGGAGGCAAAAGCTACTTGTCAGTGGAGCATTGCGATCAGTAACGATGAACAAAAAGGTAGAATTATTTAAAGTATTGTGAATCTATTAAAATTATATATGGTATATTGTGTCATGTAGATAGATCTCTCACATTATATAAAAATACTCACTCAAGTATGACTTACTGTTCAAAGTAGATTCGGTATATGTATACTGTTAAACAACGAAAGTATCTACCGTATGACGTTATTCTATGATGTGCATCTAAAAACTATCATGGTACTTTTGAGCATTTTATTTCCACTGCAGCAACTTTATTCGTAACGCGTCACTCCAGATGACACAAATCGAAATTCCCATCTCCGCTGTCGCCGCTTTAGAAAGAAAAAATAAAATTGGAAAAGATAAAATTTCCTGCCATAGCTGCAAGTTCGCTAGTCAAACTTGAAGTGTTTTAATAAACGATTTGACTGTTCCAAAACTTATTTTTATTTCTTTCACTTACTGAAAGAGACGCGAAGTTAAAATGACAGAAATGGATTGTCACCGATGTTATTTAAATCCACGACCGCCCGACTTCTAGATGAGCGTTTTATGGTTTCAGTCACAATAACGCAGTGCTTTTCAAGCCCCATAAAGCAAAGTAAACAAAATGTAGCGAAACTTTAAAAGTGTAGTGAATAACGAAAATCTCGCATTTTTGCTTTTAAAACATTTATTATTGATTAACCTGAAAACCGCTAAACAAATACCATATTCGCACATCTGCAAAACTAAAAAACCGTCACGTCCTCTATGAGGATTTGTCACACCTATGTTTCTCCTCTCCGCGATAGCTCTACTTTGAAAAGCTTAGTATATCTAAGATGGCCTGTAGCTATGTGTATACACTGAAAACGTTTTTCCTTATGATCGATTTTTAATAATATCTCAAGCAAAATAATTGATTTTAATAAATCGATTATACATTTGTATAATCGATTTTTAATAAATCGATTATAAGAATTCGTTTTTATGGTGTTGTTTTGAAACTAGTATGTAGTCGTTTTAGTTATTTTCATACTCACAATATTGTTTGATTTTTATTCTGGTGAATTGTTAATATTGGCTTAGACTTTTACTATTGCTACATGTAGATGTTTATATAAAAACATGCAGTTTGTCGACTGATAAAAAAAATGATTTTCCATCAATCGATTTTTTCCCTCATTGTCACATCCCTAATTAATAAGGAGTTGTAAAATGGGGTATCTACGCCAAAAAAATACAGCATTTTTGTATCAATGTCAACATAAGTGATGAAGCTAGCACTGTATGTATAGGCAAATTGAAACACCCTGTATATGCTCAACAATGTAGAACGACAAGACACGAACAGTCAGTTCTCACTTAGTTATCTGATCCAACGATAATTAGCATTTAAACAGTCGGTGAAAAAAATAACAGAAGCACGGACAGACAGTCGAGTTTACATTTGTAGAAACGCTAGCGAGAGGAAAGAATACGGAGATGGAGATTAAACCGATTCTAGGAAGCTGGTGCTAAGCGAAGCTGCGAACAGATACAGTTCACGAGCGAGTACTTTAAATGGCTGGAAAGTCATGAGATTCAATCTTAGGAGGTCGCTGTAAAAGGTGTTAATCAATTTGTGAGACCTCACCTGTACGAATGCGTAGTTCTTGGGTTTTATGGTTTTTAGCGAAGATATAGTAATGAAGAAGTTAGTTCACATAAATGAGAAAATGTCTTGTTTAGAAAAATAAGGAGTTAAAACAAAACAAGATCAGTATGGTTTGTACTAACACAAAAAAGAAAAGAGTGCTGTATACGATTATATTCGGCACCTCTTCGAAAAAAAGTTAATGCCGAGAGCGCTGAAAATATTTGATTATTACATCGAATTATCAGCCAGCCATTATTCATCAACATTTATCATTTGATGTTTTTTCACGCAAAATTTGTTAGCTAATGCCGTTAACTAACAATGACTGGGGCATTGAAGATTGAAGATCCAGGATTGCAGCTATACACCCCACATTCGATACATGTACAGAAACGCAACCTCGCCAGTTAATGACACGTTTATCTTGTAGCTATTTTGCGCTTGACGCGGGTATAAAATATTTACATTTTAGGTCTTGAGGGAAACCTAGCGTATAAATACAGTAACGCCAAGATTGAGGCTGCAGTTCCCGCTTCCAATTTTTTACTAGTCAAATACGAGCAGGGTTGTGTGAAATGTAAAAAACACGAAAGCTGAGCGTTTTTTTTTTTTAGTTTTTTGCTTGTAGCACTAGCACTAGCTTTTTCGTCCTTGGCATAGTAGTAACCTTGTGTCAAAACTTCCTCAAAATTCGATCGGCACTTTCCAAGTTATGGCGGGGACAAGGATTAGCGGACTGATCGACAGACAGTTCGACGGAAATGACTGACTGGGTTTTACTGATGTAGATGTTACATAGCATCCAAAAAACTTAATATCTCATTCAAGGAATTTTTCGCGATTACAATACGCCAGTTGGCGTGGGAGGCAAGAATAAGAAAAAAATGGTTAATAAAAGTTGGTTGGTCAAAGAAGCTGCCAAGTTGGCAATCTTTAGTAACCTGTCCTAGGGAAATATGCCTACACAATCAAGAGGACACGTTAAATGATCCTTATTAAAATAAGTTTTGATATCATCCTCGAATCCATCAATGCCATCGTTTTATTGGGAGGGACTAATGAATTGGTTATCAATTATGTGAAGATATATCGGAATGTACCTACCGTACTATCTTTTGACATTGACCGATCAATTAAAAACTATGGTTTGGTTAAATGATGATTTTATATTTAAACCAATCTGAAATGGAGTGTCTACCGATTCACCGAAATGAAACAAAATTAATCACTCAGATATTAATGGTTTCTCTAATGGACAGAACTAAATGTATGACAAGTATCCTTAATTGATGGACTAATATTAGTCGGTAATGGATTTAGACATAATATGACTTTCTAATTAATGAATTTAGGAGAATTAAATATTCTGTATCATAGATCGTGTAATGTTGTCTAATTCATACAGTAAGTTCTGATGATGGGCAACCATTAGGTAAGATGGTATGCTTAAAAAAATAGTGTCTAGTTGATTGAGATAATATATTATAGTATAAATGT